AATTAATTGACAAGTGTTGGATAATTAATTGATTGAGTTGTTTATTAATAGGCCCGAATTAATTAATTGGATTAATTAATTCATGGACCAAATTTAATTAATTTGATTAATTAAATATTGGACCGGGTTAAGTTTAACAGATGGGTCGAGTCCATTCGGACTTATATTAATAGGCTATTAGGGTTTGAAAACAATATGGAATTTTCATTATTCTTGCTAACACAAGAAAAGTAAAACTCTAACCGTCATTCTTGTTCTCTGTGTGGATCACCATTTGAGGCTGGATAACTTGGATTGCAGATCGTGATCATTGGAGTTCAAGAAAAAATAAAAGAGTTTGTGGAATTCATCAAAGGTATCATTCTCATCACAGTTTCTATCTAAACACATTGCAGATCCTCGTTTGAGAATTGAAAATTGTTTTATTTCCGCTGTGCATGATTAAGTAAATTCCCAACACCAGCTACCCTGTGTTTCTTTCCTCCATTGTAATAGCTACTCTTATTGGGTGAATGAAATGTTGGTTTTAAAAATTTGATCTTTGCTCTTAAGAATTTTCAGTAATATTGTCTTTCAAAATATAGATCTAGTTCAATTACATTTGCATTTGCTCCTATACAAGTAATAAGAGTACAGAAATAAGTCATACGTATAAATGTCAAGATTTATATTTTCCAAAATATAGAAAAATTATAATAGAGATTCTTACTATTTCGATTCCATGAGTTCGATGTAAAAATAATGCAAAAATGAAAAAAAAAAATTAAAATGGAATCAAAGCAATTGGGCTAGGCCGATGGCAGATTGCAAGAAATTTTGGTTTGGCCTATGCTTCAATTTTAAGTTTTACTTTCAATTAAGCCCAAAATGATCTACTTTCAGTTTTTGTAACATTTTTGAGCTATGACTTATAAGATGTAATTTCTTCTTCTTATAAGTTATAATATACGATTTCAATTGATGTACTGAAAGTGGCGGACCTAGCACATGGTGAGAGGGCATGGCCACGCTTGCTGGGATCCGTTGGAACAGTGGAAGGAAGGAAGAAGGCGACCAGACTAGCGAGGAGAGATTTTTTTTTTTTTTAGTTTGGGCTTATGCTACGGCCTGTGGGCCTTTTTACTTTGAATGACCAGGCCCTAAAGAAAACATACCCAGCGGCAGTGACGGCCGGAGCTAAGGAAGAGGCTTGAAAACTGAAGTTCAGGCGCCGCGCATGGAGATGGACGAATTTGGAAGATGACAGCTCTTTTCATTTTTAGTTCTGGGCCTCTTCTTTTGGTTGGGCCTCATTTAAAAAAAAATAAAAGTGGGCCCAGTCCATTGGATGTTGTTTTCCGTATAATGTGCATATATTGTTTAATTTTAAGAATCCTGGATTAATTCAAAACATAATCCAAATCGTTTGGAGCCGACGGATCCAAGATTCTTTAGAGCCGGGTGTAGTGAAAAACAATTTGGATTCCATGTTTTGCGTTTGGATTGTATTGAATTATGTATATACACACACACTAGGTTTAAGCAAAGTGCAATACACGTTTGCTTAGTTTATATATAATTTTTTTGGTTAAGAATTAAATTTTTATTAATAAAAATGTAATTTTTTTGGTTAATTAACTAAATAATGATATAATGTTTATGTAATTGATAAATAATTGCACATTGTGATATATTAAAAAAAGAGTATTAATAGAATCTATGACATGGTTCTATAAATAAACATCGTTCATAGTTTTATGAAAGTTGTTTGAGATAATTCTGATTCTAAGATAACGATTCATCATTTTCCTCATCTTGCACTGTTTCAATAGAGATGACATTAAACTACATATATTTTTTCTCCTTAATTTCTATGGATCTACATAAACTTGAATCTTCCAAATTTCTTTTAATAATTTCTCTGCAACGTTTTTAACATATAGTCGATTTACTACGAAATAAATTTTGAATAGATTTACATAATTAATAAAAAACACAATTATTTTTTAAATAACTCATTATAATAAAAATCAAGTTTTGAAGAAAAATTTAAGAAATACCTCT